GGATTTACGGGGGTTTTTCTAATACTACCTTGGGCAACCCAAGTACCTATATAAAGTGTACATAAAGCAAAAAAGCTTGCATTATTGCTTTTAACGTTGTTTATTTTATCTTTCCTTGACTAAAAATGTTTAATAGGTATTCGTAATTCTTCTTTTACTTACCAGGGACGCTCAGAAACTAGGGCTATTACTAAGGTGTGTCAATAAATGACCAAAAATGTTCAAAAGTGTGCAAAATTGTATACTTGTTGGTTTTAAGTGGTATTTTAGTAATAAATTTATATGGATTTTGAGGAGCTTTAGTATTAATATTAGCTCATGGGTTATGTTCTTCTGGATTATTTTGTCTAGCTAATATAGCTTATGAACGATCTCAAAGACGAAGAATTTATATTAATAAAGGGATAATAAATTTATTTCCTAGTATTTCTTTATGGTGATTTTTGTTATGTTCTTCTAATATGGCCGCTCCCCCTTCTTTAAATTTATTTGGTGAAATTTTACTTATAATTTCTTTAGTTGCGTTTAGAAAATTGGTTATATTTAGTTTATTTTTTATAGCATTTTATAGAGCAGCTTATTCTTTATTTTTATATTCGTTTACTCAACATGGATCCTATTATTCTGGAGTTTATTCAACTCATTGTATTTATATTCGTGAATATTTTTTATTATTTTTACATTGAGTACCTTTAAATTTGTTAATTTTAAATAGAGATATTTTCTCAGTGTGAATTTATTTAAGTAGTTTATGTAAAATTTTAATTTGTGGAATTAAAGAAATGATAAATTTCATCTTAAATAATTTTTATTTGTAATATATTTTATATTTTATTTTTAATTATTTCTTTATCAATATATTTATTAGGTTTATTAATATTAGAATTTAATATAAATATTATATTTGAATATAGATTTTTTTATTTAAATTCTTCTTCTATAAAAATATTTTTATTTGTAGATTGAATTTCAATATTATTTATAAGATTTGTGTTATTAATTTCATCTCTGATTATTAAATATAGGTCGGAATATATAATATACAAAAAAAATTTAAAACGTTTTATTTATTTAATGATTTTATTTGTTATCTCTCAATGAATGTCAGTTCTCGCTCCGCTCGTAATTAAAGTTTTTGGCCTCATGATAGGATCTCAGTGATCCTGTCAATAAACCGAATTGTCTTTTTTTGAAGAAAAAAATTATACCTAACTTTTGCGTAAAGTGTCATTTCCGTCCTTGTCGGATTGCCCGCAAACTTCGCCCTGCGTCGTTCGTGTAACTGCCATCGCGCGAAGAAAACTATCACTTTCCACACTAGTTAGAAAATAACTATTTCAGGTTCTGTGAGGGATTGTATTCGAAGCATCAATGAAGAAATAATCACGCTCCAAGAAGATCCCGACCCCACTATTCTGAAGGTTTTATTTCGACACAGTACTGTGCATTGTTTGTCACAGAGAACAATTTAACAGAATCAGTCAGGAAGCAAGAGTAAATATATTCATCAAAAGAGGTATATACGTCCCAGAAAATTCCAGGGTATGCCAGGAGCATCTTAATGCTGATGGACTTTTGCTCCTGCAGCTACATAATGGATTGCAGTCGATTATACTCGCCCTATAACTTCCCTATAAAATTTCGAGAGCAGGTATTTCTTCTTTCGAGCTTAAGAGAAAAAGCCGATAACCCTCCCTGTGAAATGATCGATGAAGAAAACTTCACCGATGAAGAACTTAGGGATCTAACATCATTAACAAAAGTTCAGTTTAGAGATTTGCACACGAACTACTGCTTACCTGTCATGTTATACAGGGTGTCCTTAGATAAACTGATACATTTTACAGGTGAACATCTCGAAAACGAGAAAAGATAATGGGATGCAGTTTGTGCTGTTTTAAAGTTTTTTTTCATGTTATTAACGAATTCTGAAATTTGGTTTTACAGACATTCGATTTTTTGAAATAATTACATACTGCCTTATTCTTGATGAAACACCCGGTATATTTTATCATCGTCAAAAAGCGTGACTTTTCTTCTGGACAAAAATGTATAACTTTTTTCAATTATCTTTAAATTACATCTCAAAAATTGCACTTTGTTAAAAAGGGTACCATCAATTGGCCAAAAACAAAAAAGAAATACTTCGAATAATTAGAGGGACTTCAACCTTTCAGGATTTATTGAGTTATCAAGCAGAACAAACCGCGAAAAGATATCAAGCTCAGAAATGGAATTATGAATTTTTTCTCATTTAAATGCAAAAAATCTTTAAATATTTCTATCAAACTACTTTTGGAAGCTTCTGAAAAATACTTCAAGCAATCAAAGAGCTTCAAACTTTCAGGATTTATTGAGTAGTGTCTTTTTATCAAACAAAACAAACTGCGAATGGATATCAAGTTCAGAAATGGAATTATGAATTTTTTCTCATTTAAATGCAAAAAATCTTTAAATATTTCTATCAAAACACCTTTGGAAGCTTCTGAAAAATACTTCAAGCAATCAAAGGGACTTTAAACTTTCAGGATTTATTGAGTAGTGTCTTTTTATCAAACAAAACAAACCGCGAATGGATATCAAGCTCAGAAGTGGAATTAGGTATGAATTTTTTCTCATTTAAATGCAAAAAATCTTTAAATATTTCTATCAAACTACTTTTGGAAGATTCTGAAAAATAATTCAAGCAATCAAAGGGTTTTCAAACTTTCAGGATTTATTGAGTAGTGTCTTTTTATCAAACAAAACAAACCGCGAATGGATATCAAGCTCAGAAATGGAATTAGGTATGAATTTTTTCTCATTTAAATGCAAAAAATCTTTAAATATTTCTATCAAACCACTTTTGGAAGCATGCATGTAATTTAAAGATGTACATGCACCTTGTTGAAGAGTGTACCATCGACTGGCTAAAAAAAAATGATAATAATTAATTATTTGTGTTTTATATGCACTTATTTGTGTTTAATACTTGTAATATTAGTTTTATTATTAGAACTATGCGCTAATTAGTTAATAAAAGTATTTAACACAAATTATTTCTCAATTTTTTGTTGGTTAGTCGATGGTATTTTCTTCGACAAAGTGCAATTTTCACGATGCAAGTTCAAGATAATTGAAAAAAAAATTATACATTTTTGTAAAGCAGAAAAATCAGGCAGAAATATACAGGGTGTTTCATTAAAAATAAGGCAGTCATTTTATTTTAAAAAATCGCATGTCTGTAGAACCAAATTTCAACAAATTTTAGGATTCGGCCATAATGTGAAAAAAAACTTTAAAAAATCCTTATTCTCCCAGAACAAACCGCATCTCGTTATCTTTTCCCGTTTTCGAAATATTTACCTGCAAAATGTGTCAGTTTATCTAAGGACACCCTGTATGGAAAAATGAGGAACATATCCAAACAAGATTTAATATGCCTTTTAAGCAAAATCCGCCAAGGAATTTCCGACAGTTTTCTCAGGGTAATGTTTGGCCATTCGACTAGGCAACAAACAAGCCTAATTATTTCTAAAGTCCTTCTCACCTTAATGCAAAACTTTGTGCCTCAGTGGCTCGGTTACGCCTATATAAATCGAGAAGAGTATATTAGAAGTCACGTTACCAACAATCAAGAACCACAAAATGCAAAAGCAATTGCTTACATTGATGCTACCTACATAGAAATTCAAAAGAGTAAAAAAGCCTCATACTAAATACCCTAGCACTATGGTTTTGGATTATGTTGAAGATGTTGAAAATGTTGAAGCCGAGAACGCCGATGGTGAAGAAATACTTCCCGAAATAGTGCAATAATGAAAGTAGATATTAGCTTTGTTTTGGTTTGGAAAAGGACGGTTCAAAATAATCGCACAGTTTATCAATCAACAAAATGACCACGGATTGGCTATCAAAAATTCCAATAATAAGCTGTTCTAAGAACTGTGCGATTGTTTTGGACCCTTCTAGAACCGTACTTTTTTTCTAATCAACACAAAGGTAATTTTACTGTGTAATATGTTAATTAGAATAGTTTCTGTTTTTTGTTGCGTTAATTTTTTGCCAATATTTTTTGTATTATTTTAAAAGGCCCATCAAACGAGTACTTTTTAAAATACCCTCGTACATATACATACATAGGCACTAAACTTAAAGCATGCACGTTTGCGTAAAAGGTCTAAACTAAATCAAAATTTTTTAAAGCTACCCACCACAAATAAACGCGAAAAGCAGAACAATTCAGTAGTTTCAGGTTGCCTGAGGTAGTATTAGAAAAACCCCCGTATATCCAAAACTAGTCATAGGATCGGATAGTGCCCATGAGAACTTTTACTCAGGAGGTCGAAATATACAACATACCAAAATTTGGTCAGATTCCGCGTTCAACCAAAATCCCATAAGAAGTGTGCGGGGTCCTTTAAAAACAATACATTTATGCCCACTCACCCTACTATGCCGTTTGCTAACACAACTGCTGTTACTCTTTTTCCAAGACAATCAATAAACATTCAACCACGCCTAATTCAACAAAGATTTCCCATGAATATCCCTATGCTTCCAAACAATCTAAAACAAATAATGTATTCGCCCCCCAAAAGAATAAAGCATATTCCAAACCTATGCCCATGTCTTCAATCAATGCCCAAATACCTGATAATTATGGAAGCACAGGTACTCTCTCAATGAAAACATACCGTCCCCAGAATAATTGGATGATGATAATTGAAAAGGAACCAAGCGCCAAATTGCAAAAATCTGGATTATGGAACCATACGACAGTTTGGCATTTATTTTTAATGTGTAAAAAGTCTCAAGCGCCTACCGGCATCCTAGCGGCATGTATTGATTGAAGATCCAAGCGACTTTGAGCGAAATAGCAGTTTTCTGTTATAGAAAAAGATCCAAGTTCCAGTACTGTTTATAGAAAATGATTACTGTTGCTTGGTTCCCTTTATATTTTCGGACAGTTTTTTTTGTGAGTGCTGGTTTTCATGTTTTTGGATTTCAATTTGAACTAAATGAGTGGAAGAACTAAGGATGGGCCAGGTAAATCTTTTACTAGAGTGTATATGCTTGGAAAGGTTGAAGTGTGCCGTCGTGATACTTATAACAACACCTACCAAATATCCACAAAGCGGGTTAACACTGCATTAGAAAAAAAAAAACGTAGCACCAAAATACAAGTCGAGCGAGGAAAATCTGGAGGGAAGAAGGAAATTGATATAGAATCAATAAATAAAATTATCGATCACATAGCCAAATTTCTTACCTATGTGTCTCACTACTATCGTTCAGAAACGGAAGCGAAATTTTCACCTCACCTCACAGAAAGAAAAATGTACGAACTATATGTAGAACACAAAAATCCCAAAGTTAGTTTTCAGTTCTATAATAGTTATTTACATTACAAGTGCGTTTATGAACATGATTACAATAACGTGTGTGAAAGATTAGAACGACGAGGTCGTAGACCGAGTCGTTCTAATCACACGAGTTTTGTAGTCATATTTAAACGCACGTGTGATGTACAATTTTTGCATCTACAACGCGAAAAATAAGAATGTTTTTCAGTTATTTTCGTTTTTTAGTAGTTGTTTACCTTCATTTTACCATAACAGGTTTACCTTTGACATTTGTCAAATCACCAAAACAAAAATAGTTGTGTTATAGATTCATAACCTCGTCCATAACACCACTAGTTGTGTTATGAATTCATAACCTAGTCTATAACACCACTAGTTGTGTTATGAGACTCGTGACATAACTCAAATACTAGAAAAATGGTTATTTAAAATCGTCATAACCAAACGCTTGTAGATAAAAATATATTTTACAAACATTTCAACTTGAGGCCAAAGCCCCCTATAAAAGACATATGTAACAAATATGACATGTATTCTTCACAGGTAAAAAATGCACAGAATGAGAATCAACAGCTAGTTTTAAAAGAACAACATGACACGCATCTTGAAAATGCGCAGCTTGCTCGAGATCAGTTGAATAAAGATTTAAAGAAAGCAAGTCATAGAAACCCTCTGCTCCGATATGGAAAAGGTCCCAGGATTACCTAAACTACCAACAAATATTGCTTATTATAAAAGACAATTGAGTATTTCTAATGAGGGGGTTCATTCAGGCTCCACAAAAACTCCGCATATTGTTTTTTTTTTGTGGAAAAAAAGTGTAGCCGGTCAGGGAGCACAAGAAGTGGGCTCATGTTTAAAGAAGTTTGTCGAAGTGCACCTTGAAAAGGGAGTAGAGGAATTAATATTATGGTCAGGTAGCTGTGGTGGACAAAATTCCAGGGAGCTTGGATCCTTTCCAGGTTATAAAAAACTATTATTAAATTATTGAAAAGGATCCATCAGCCAAAGAAGGGCTTAAACTATATTTTGCTAAGTGGAAAAAAGATAATCCACTAGTGTTTATCATTTGCTTTCAAACGTACAACAATTTAATATGGAAAAAATTTCTAAAAATATGATAATTTTTAAAAAACGTGATATATTACAAAACCACCGACTACGCAAATTTATAATTTGGTGCTTGGATCCTTTTCAATTAGCATCATCCAATTCCAATACCTTCTCTGGACAAGGATATAACCCCTTCCAGAATACAGGACCTCAAAATCATGAATGTACCTAATTATTCCAATTGAACCCAAGATTGCTTTGATTATGACTATACCAATGATCCAAAATTTCATAACTTACCAGACTACGAGGTAATATAAATATTACAGGCCCAAATTACACTGCTCGAAAGAAATCTCTAATTAAGTGACACAACCGTCGAACTGTGTTTTAAAAAACCGTTTATTTTTGCATAGAGCCTTAACTAAGTTCACAACTAAATGTTACAAAACTATTTCTAAGTTGAACAAAACTACGAACAGCGATCTGGCTTTGACACGCAATTAATGTTACTGTTTACAATGGTAATTCCTAATTTATAATGTAATAATGCGTATTCAGCATAATTATATTATATTGTTTAGGTTTTCGGACGTTTCTCTCTATAAAATCCCTCATGAAGGGCGGTATGATATTCGTCACAGGTTTATTACTTGACCCCATAAAGATCACAGGTAAAATTTAAGGGAGACTGATATTCGTCACATCCCATTCACCCACTCTCTTAACCCTACACCACAATAAAAAGATTAATTATTGTGCACAGGTAACTATTTTTCTGAATTTCATATTATTATTTGCCATTTCTCTGTTGCATGTTTAAGTGACATCAGTCGACAAATTAAAAATGTCTTTTTTAAAAGAGATTACAAGTGAACATGGAAAAACGCAAATTGTGCATAATAATTTTAAGTTTTCCAAACATCGATGTACTTCAACAAAGGAAATTGTGTGGAGGTGCATTAAAAGACCGAATTGTAAGGTATATGTTTACACAATTAGAGAACCTAGCAGTTTTGTAGTTACGACAGTGAAAAATGTGCATAATCACGAACCGGAAGGAAACACATTGCTAGACAAATCTTTAGTGTTTCATGTAAACGAAAGACCGAAGAGGCTCTTACAGAGAGACCATCAAAAATGTTGCACAAGGAGTTAAGTTCAAATAATTTCGAGGAAACGTTGACATCCCAAGATCTTACGTTTATTAAAGAAAATATGTACAAAAATCGTCGTTAAACCCTGCCTAGATTGCCAAGCTCCATCCATGAAGTTCAAAGTTACCTGGAAGAACATGTGTACAAGACATCAAGACAGGAAAATTTTATACTAGCAAATGATTTCGAAAAAGGAATTGTCATTTTGGGTTGCACAACAAATTTGGAATTTTTGTGTAAGTCTCAATTTATTTACATGGATGGAACATTCCAATATTGTACTAAGTTTTTTACGCAATTATTTACTATTGATGGTTAATGGTTACATAAATGGACATTTTATACCTCTACTATATACTTTACTAAAGAACAACGGAAGAGGTTTACACACTACGTTTAGAAAAAAATCAAACATTTATGTTCTCTTAAAAACTTGAGCTTCACTCCTGATAAAATACTTGTAGATTTTGAAATTGCCATTCATAATGCAGTTTTAAAGGTATGTGATAACGCTTCAATTATTGGCTGCCGGTTTCACCTTACGCAGTTTTGGTGGCGTAAAATACAAAAATTAGGGTTGAGTTGTGAATATAAAGATATGTATAGTGAGATTGGAAAGTGTTAATATGTAAATAATAATATGTAAATAATAGGTATTATATATGAGTAGTTTGTATTTTGTTATCATTTAATAAATCTCAGTTAATATTATATATATCCGCTTTTATTTCTTTTTTCCTTCATCTATCAACACAAAAATTAAATAATGAAAATAGCTGTATAATCATTATAGTGTCTAATCATCAGTGTGACGAGTTTCAGGGTACCAAAAAAAGGCCGTAAAATGGTTTCTGACGAATATCCGATCGCCCCTCATGAAGGTCCTCTTCTTTCAAGACCCTCCACCTAGACATATTCCAATTTTCTCAAGCAATGTTTCTGGTAAATATGCTTATTATGTTAAAGACAGAAATGCTACTACAATATCAAATAAATTAGGGCACCCTATATCATATAGCACACCTCCTCAACGAATTGTCTTTGATAATGGTTCTGAATTTAAAAATAAAACTTATTAGTGATAGTTTAGTTTTGGACACGTATTATACAATGTATATTTCACTTAATTTAAGTACAATCCAAAGCACACTAGCTCATTTGTATATTAATCAACTAGGTTGTGAGTGAAAATAATCTAGCAAAATTCAATTAAAACATACATATGATCAACTTAAGAATGCATTCAATAATTTGCATAAAAGAGAATATGTAGAAAAGGATCAAAGAAAACGCAGAGGCTTGATTAACTTCTTAGGCCCTTCGATAAAATTTATAACAGGTAATTTATATCAAAATGACTTAGATATTGACAATCCACTAGAAAACATCAAATTCAATCAAACCACAGCAATGCATAAGATAAATTAACTAAGCTAAGGAAAATTACTGATAAATTTCAGAATGATATTTTATTTGTCTACGATAATACTCTCCGACTTATTAGATTTTCATAAATGCAAGATCATTCTCTCCAAATACTCATAATTGATTCCTACATAAACAAATTGGTAAATACAATTACCTTTGCTATTACTAATACATTAGACATTGGAATATTCAATTCAGAGAATCTAAAACAAATTTGGACTTTCTTAAAAATCTATCAGATATTCCTCTTATCAATTATTGTGGCTTCTAAAGCAAATTTACGAGTCAACATCCATTTGTAAAACTGAATTTATTCTAGCAAACAATATACTCCTGTTAAAACATACTCCAACCGCCGCCTCAACCAGACTGTACCGGTTAAAAAGAAATTGGATTACAATAATTTAAGCAAGGATGATTGCAGATTCGCCGAAAAGTTGACCGATTTGCCAGACAATTTAGAAATCCCTCGAAACATCAAGTTGAGAAAAGGATAGTGTTTCAAACAAAAACAATAAAAAACTGCCAGTCTAAAATCAACAGACTACGAACAAACATCAAAACAACAAGAATGAAGTTTTTTAGCATTTTACCATTCTTGTCTATGTTGAGCACTGTAGCAAAAATATTTGTAATGATGCGAGGAAAGCGCAGAAACACAATTCGTGGGTGGATAGGTCAGAACTATTTCAAAACCGGTATTGACGAGGGGCTTCTACAACATTTAAAATTAAAAGCGAAAACACAAACTGAAAATCAGAGAAAAAGCGTCTTGTCATTTGACGAATTAGTATAAAGGAATATTTAGAATATAATAAAAAACTTGATCTTATGAAAGTTTGGAACATTTAGGTCCATTGGGGAGAGCTCCTGAAAATGCTACAAGGGCGTTGGAATTTTCAATTCGTGCCTTATATGGTAAATGGAAAATAACAGTTTCATATTTTTTCTCCCAAAACTCTCTATCGAAGGTAAAGCTTGAAGAATTAACTATTTACAACATTAATTTCTGTTGGATATTTGCCAAAAGTGGTTATTTGCGACCAAGGGGCAAATAATAGGGGTGCATTAAGTTTGTTTGGAGTTACTACTGAAAATCCATTTTTTGTGTGTTGAATTTGAAGATATTTGCAATGTATGATGTAGGGTAAAGTGGGGAGAGATGGATCAGTGGAATAGACGGACCATCCGCCATATTGCAAAAACGATGTTCCGGATAAATGCACAATTTCGTTACACGGTTCAGTTTCCTACCAGAGCTTGCCAGAGAAACAGGTGCGCGACGTCGATTGCATATTGCTGTAGGAGAAGTCGACTTTCAAACGACCGATTACGTGTTAGAGGTAGGTCCTCCAGAAGTACAAGGCCATCCTTTTCTATAATTAGTTTTTCGGTTTTTATGAATTTTAGAATCGCTTTTCGATTAGTGTTCTGTTATTAAATAAAGCAGTTAATATCTACCGTCGACTCTTTGAGAAGCGTCGTAATAAATCTGATCGTCGGCTACAAATTCTTTCTGAGCAAAAAAACAGAAACAAAAAGATCTTGACTAAACCAGTGGAAAAAGCGAGGGGTGTTTCACGATCGGCATTGGTGTACAAATGTTCGGCAATGATGGCGGCAATGAAGGCAGTGATTTAGGTATTGTCGGGCATTGAATGGAAAAATAAGGAAAATTTGCAGCAGTGACGGCATTGATGTCGACATTGACGGCATTGATGTCGGCATTGACGGCATTGATGTCGGCATTGACGGCATTGATGACGGCATTGACGGCATTGATGGCATTGATGACGGCATTGACGGCATTGATGACGGCATTGAAGGCATTGATGACGGCATTTTCGACGGCATTGTCGGCATTGACAGAAATTTTCCCAGAAATTTCAATTCCCTTTGGCAGTTGTTGAGTGTTGAGTGGTAGTTGTGAAACGAAAGGTGAAATATTGTGTAGAATATTATTAACAATAATCGGCTAATTGGCATCATTTAGCAGTGAGATTTTGTGGTGATAATAATTGAGGGTGATAATAGAAGGAAAAAGGTAAGTAGATTTATAGATACACGAGTAGATACATGAATGTTTTTTGTATATAAATTTCAACGAAACTGTACATATTGAATAGTATAGGAGATTTCATTATGAGATTTTGGTCGCACCGGCGCATTGCTGACTTTGGCAGAAAGTCGACAAGCAGTGACATAACCTATAAAAAGCAACGTCCATGTTTTGTTGCTATTTATACGAGTATCGAGCCGAGTATTTATAGGTTATGTGACTTTGTTTGTCGACTTTCTACCAAACTCATGGCGGTTTCGACTGGCTGCACTGCACCTCGGTGCGCACAGTTTGACAAACAGAAATCGCCATAAGGGCGAGTTCAGTTCTCATGATCGTAAGTTGACGTTGACATTTCTGGCGTCAGCACGTGATAAAATAATGAATGCGTGTTATGTTATTTTCTCGAAAAGCAGAACTTATTATGAATGAACTGTTATAAATCATAACTTTACTACGAGCGATATTTTTATCAGATTTGTTCAAAGTTATACACCTCGTTATAAACTCTTTTCAGGTTCTGAGAATAATGGCAAGTCAAGTGGTGGAAGAAACAGTAGAAATAATGGAGTCTCCGAGGGAATCCCCGATTATCGATCCTGTCGAGGAGCCGGTAGAAGAATTTGAGGCTATCTTGGCGAAAATCCAGATTCCTAAAAATATAAAAAGTCTGTTATCTTACTGTGGATGGAACAGTGTCTCAACATTTCAAAATATATCAGAATCTGATATCGACGAAATGGAAAGATTCGCCAGGGATGATTTATCACAGCTTTTAGAAGGTACCGAATTAAAAGAGTTTTTTGGAGTTTTTGCAAGAAAGCCCTCCTTGTTCAAACTTCATGGAGGACATAGGCAATTACTTCGCAACATAAAAGAAATGTGTAAAGCTACTTCCCAAATAAAATGTTCTAAATGCCTCAGTAAATGCAAATGCATGTGCAAGGATCTTGGCAAGCATACAGCAGGTAAAAAGAGGGTGAAAAATGCTGAAAAAACCCGTGAAAAAAGAAAAAAGGATATCGAACAATGTACAGAAGAACCAAGTAACGTAGAGCAAGACAAAAACAACAAAAAGGGACACAATTTTTCTGAAGCAGAATCAGAAGAACCTTCGGGAGAACCCCAGGTAGAACCTTTAAGTCATCTAAAGCTAGTTATAGGCAATTACATAAAATCTTTCTGTAACAAAATATTGAAGGACAATGACGAAGCTATAAATATTAAAAGCAAGATAGGTAATATTCAACTATCTTCAGATATTCCAACGTCTGCGAAAGTTAAATGCCTGCTGTGCGATGCGAGTATAAAAGTATCCCGTGTGGTGGGAAAATACGGAAAAAAATGAATAACTTCAAATTTCAATCATCACTTTAAGGCTCATTTCAAAGAAAAAAATCAAACCGACAATGAAACAGAAAATCAAACAGCCAAGCCTCGAAGCAAACTAAAAAATTCTACCATGTTGGACTACTTCCATGACTACCGAGAAAACGAGGGAAAGGAAAACAACTCTCAAACGAGGTCTCAAAGCAACCTCTCAGAAGGCAGTTCCTTTGACGCCTTGTTCGATTCCAACTTGGACAACGACGTAGCATGCACCCAAACATCGGAAGCAAGCAATTTAATAGGTGGAGAATATCTGGAGGCAAATAATGAGCTGGTCTCGGAGCAGCTTGCTCACAACGATATTTCTGTAATGCAAACTCTCGTACAACCTGGAATATTGCCCTTAGCATTACCCGAGGCATTACCTGATTTGGAGAATAACGGGAATCTGTTTTTTTCACAAGGCAGAACTTCCAGTGAGGCAGGAAGTGCTGCTTTAGAAAAGAGTTCAGAAAATGAGCTCGAGAAGCCTCAAAAACCTACCAAGGATGCAAAGTGTAAATGGAAAGACGAAAAATATTCGCGAACTCAGAGAAATTTAAGAAAGCTAGAGTTGGAGGTTGACCATCAATTAAAAATAACATCATTTTTTGAACTCAAAGACCGTATTGTGGAAGTTTTGGGAAGTAATGAAAACATCGAGAGGAACATACTGAAGTCGTGTGCTGATCATTATGAATTCGCAGAACTGAATATGAATAACTTTCTGAATCTTCTGATAAAGCATGCAAAGCAAAATAGTTCTTCTACTGCTAAAAACAACAGATTTACCGATGACCTCAAAAAATTCTGTCTATACTTGTTTATCATTGGAGGCAAACTGAACTATGAAACTTTACAAAAAAATCTACAAAATATATTACCATCATTGTCATCAGTGCGCCGATCATTGAATGAGAACCTCTCAGTAATAGAAGGTGTTGTCAGCATGTGTGAACTTAAAAACTATTTAGTAAAAAGAAAACTTCCTCTAAGCGTTTTCATAAGTGAAGATCAAACGGCAATACTGAAAAAGATCCAGTATGACCCGAAGTCCAACAAGTTAGTGGGCGTTTTATTGCCTAAAGATAATACAGGTTTTCCAGTATCTAATAAACGTAATATCTTGTATCGTATCCTCGATACAAGATATTAGAAACGCTTTTGAAAAAGAGATTATCATAAACAACGCATACGTATTTATGGCTCAGCCCTTGAAAGATAAAGTCCCAGCGTTTTGTTTGTGCATTTTCGGAAGCAACAATAAATTTAGTTATGAAGATGTTATCAACAGATGGACGTTTGTAGTTACTGAAGCCCATAAGTATGGAATTGAAATATACGGTTTTTCGTCAGATGGGGATACTAGGTGTTTGAAAGCAATGAAGGAACTTTGGAATTTTCCAGACAAAAGTCAGAAAAATTGGTTATCGCCATATTTCCAGGTAAGCTCAAGTTGATAGTGAAATACCTGAGGTGATACCTAATTTTTTCTCTTTCAGATGGAGTTTAACCTAAAATCCCCCGTAGTTATTCAAGACACTGTACATATTTTGACAAAGATGAAAACAAGACTTCTAAATACCAATATAACGTTGACCATGGGAAAGCATAAAATATCTTCCAAAATTCTTGCTGAGATGATTGAAAAATTTTCCAAAGATATACACTGTTTATGCCAGTCTGACTTAGATAGTAAGTTATTAGCTCGGTTATTAGTGAGTTTAATTCGAGGGCGAAACCGCGGAGGCATTTTAATGTACAAGTGGTGGGAATTTCGAGGTATTATATGGGCATTTCGAGGTATTATAAGGGCATTTCGAGGCATTTTGGGGAATTTTGAGGCATTTCATGAAAAGTTGGGAATTTTTGGGGCATTTTCTATAAAATGCCGAAATTTTGGGGCATTTTTTGGGAATTTTGTGAAATATAGGGGCATTTCAGGGAATTTTTCGAAAAATGTCGGCATTTCCGGGAGTTTTGATGCATTTTTGGCGTTTAGGCATTTTAGTGTACAAATTTTAACCCGCGATTCACCCCGCGGTTTGATTTCTATGAATATATATTTTTCCAGGTGCAGATAAGATGAACTTTGAAGCTGCCAAAAAGTTATGTTCTGAAGCTGTGATAAATACATTGCAAAAGTTGCCTGAAAGTGAGGGAACTGTTCAGTATTTAAAATTAATGCAAAAAATTGACAAAGCCTTCTTGGACAAATCGTTGAAATGCAGCGAAAGATTATTTAATATGTGGTATACAATTTTTTTTTTGCGAGCATGGCGGCATTGGCTTTATAATGAGAAACTGTCTGAAAAATCCTTTATTACGTCAAACACCTATACGGGGATAGAGTTGAATGGACATGGATTAGTTATTTTGATCGAGAAGATAAGGGACACTCCAGACCAATTTCTTCCATGGATTTTTTCAAGTCAACCTTGTGAAAAAATTTTCAGGCAGACGCGATCCATGACGTCTACGTACTCTACAATAGTTAATTTTTCAATGTTAGATATTCTTCGCCGACTCTCTAGAATTCAAACCCTCAATGAAGTTGTTAGTGATTTAGGTTAGTATTAATTCACATTTTAATAGGCAATAACAGTGATACAAAGATAGAAAATATCTCAGAAAAAGCAATGTGATTTTGAGCAAATTTTCAATTATTTAATTTTTTTTAGGGGATTCTTTCAGTTTTCCAAGGGAGAATAATGCAAGACTTGGAGGCGTTGAAGATAAAAAAAATTATGACTTACTCGAGTTGGCAGAAATTGAAAAAATTATTATTGATGCCAAAGAAAATGCTAGGGTAGATGCTAATCATCTTGGGATTGTAGTAACTGATGAACACTTTAGTATCGTTCATTTGAGAGAAAATTCTGTTCGAGCAAATGAGGAGACAGCTGGAAATGCAGAGGAAATTATCGAGGAAATTATTGATTCAGATTTGGAAATAGAAACTAGCAGTCAAGCACTAGAGGAGGAATATATGTCTGAATATGACTTAAATGAACTAGAAGAAGACCTTAATACTCTTCAAGACATGGAGAATTTAAATTTAAGAGATTACAGTGGTCAAAATAAGTCATGTGATAAAAGTAGCTCATACATAATGGTAACGTTAAAAAATGGAAAACAAATGACAGTAAAAAAATCCAGCATCTGTTGGTTTTTCTCAGAAAAACAGGGAAGATTGTCGACAGATCGACTACTTAGAGTTAAAGGCATGTCCTCGGCCACGTCGCAACCTACAACTCGACCTAAAAGAAAGAAGAAAATTCACCATAAAACAGCAGCAAAAAGAAAAAGAACCAAAGTCACTAAATCAAAATCGAGATTAAAATTGAACGAAGCTGAAACTGAAACAGACACTGAAACAGAATATATATCTGATAAATCGGAAAGCAGTGGCGGAGAATTTATGGTAGATTTAGCTACTGAGGCACCTAGCGACACACCTACTACGGAAATCGAAACCGAAATATTAATAGAAACTGAAAAATACTACAGTGTTTATTATGATGATCAGTGGTACCTTGGCAGAATTTTGAACATAAATGGCAGTGAATGTAATGTTAAGTTTTTGATAAAACAATTAGATGCTTTCGTTTGGCCTAAGCAAGAAGACATTCAGCTAGTTGACAAACAATTCATTTTTTATGGTCCGATCGATTTAGTAGGCAGTAGCCCATTCCAATTGAAGAGGGTTGATTTAAATAAAATAAATAAATTGTATAAAGATTTGAAAAGAATGTAACTCAAAAACAGTAGTCTATATACATGTTTAATCGAGTGTATAATCCGAGGTATAATCAATAAATCATATGTTCATGAAATGTATTTTTCTATTTCAAAAGTCTCCTGGTAAATCTGAAACTAAACATTTTCTCCAGCATTTTCTCTAGAAGCTTTGCAAATTTTTTGACAGTTTCTATGATTTTCCTCGTGATTTTCCTGGTGATTTTCCAAATAACAAAATCTCGACCAAAAGAAAACGCAATTTTCAGTCTCAAGATAGGTATTGAAAAAAAATGCAGTCATTTACAGAACAAAAGAAAGATTCCTTCAATCATTCAAAAATCTTAAGAAGATGTAGATACATTAAGTTTCTAACAAATATAAGAAAAATATGCCATTTCACTCCCTTGATATGCAATTTAATAATGACAGCAATACTTGCGGCATTGAGGGCAGTGCTGTCGGCATTGAAGGCATTGTTGTAGGCATTGAACGCATTGTTGTAGGCATTGAAGGCATTGTTGTAGGCATTGAAGGCAGTGTTGTCGGCATTGAAGGCAATGCATCACATTTACGGCAATGCTGGCGGCAGTGAAGGCATTGTTACGACATTTGTCGGAATTTTTTCGGAAATTATAGCAAATCGGAAATTTTTGCAGCAGTGACGGCATTGATGCCGTCTTTTGGCAGTGGTGTACAAATTTTTGGTAGGTGAAACACCCCTCGGGAAAAAGCTAAAAAAACAAAACAGTTACATATATCTGATACTTCAGAGAGTAGTTGTAGCGGTGAAATAACGGAAAATGAATTTGAGCTTGAGTCGTTTTCAGAAGAAGAGCTGGAAAATTGCACAGAAAATCTGAGTAAAAGTGTCAAAATGGAGGTCAAAACAAAACTAGAGCATTACTATGCTGTTCAAAACAAGCAGAGTCAAGTTTTTGGAATCCGAACTCGATGATTATGTATGGCCTACTAATGATGACATTCAGATTGTCGAAAATAAAATAAATTCATTTTTTATGGACCAATAAGTGTAGTCGGTTGTGGGCCATTTCAGTTGAAAAGAGAAGAAAAATTGAAAATTCAGAAGGGCAAGCATGTGTAATAGTTAAGAAGTTGAAATACAAAATAGTATGTAAGACTAAGGGTCGTTATTGAAAATGTCATGTAGCTTAGCATTGCAAATATTTTCAAATACTGTAGCTGCGGCAATAAAAACATGTGTAGCAACGGGATATATGTATAAAGAAGCCTGTTGCTGAATTTATGACAAATATGAACAATTTATTCGATGCGCTTAACAGTAAAGGATTGTTTTGGAAAAATCCATTTAACTGTGGGTTACGCGATAAAAATCTGCTTGTTCGAAACACTCTTCAAATGGGAAAACAAATCTTTCAATCCCTCATCAAGGTAAGTATAAAAAATAGAAGACCACCTAAAAACTGGATTCAAGTCCTACTAAAAAAATGAAAACAAATGATGAAGTAAAAGAAAGTAGGCCTCCCTATTTTGACGGTTTTTTGCAATCCATAAACGCAATTTTCGGATTATTTTATTCACAGAAATCAACTAATAGGTTCCTCTTAACCAACAGAATAAACCAGGATCATCTAGAAAATTTCTTTTCAGTTATAAGGCAACGCGGTGGATGGAATTTGAATCCATCCGCTAAAACATTTAGGTTGTCTTTTAGAATACACACAAAAGTCTTTTTTGTCCATCAAAATCCTTTAATTGCGAGGAAGATTTTGACACCCAATTTCTAATGCCATGTTCTAGCAATGTTTTGTCAAAAAATACCACATATCGACTCATGCAACGAACACGATAGTAACTGATTTTTGGGGGTTTTTGAGTTACCATTATGCAGCGCATATATTTACCAGAAACTTTGACCTGGAGAAGTATAGTATGTCTAAATGAAAGGGTTAGGCAACCAGAAATACTACTATAAAATATAGTAAGTCATTTTTGGGCATAAAATACTAAGAATACTATATTATTTTGGGATACTTTACTTTATCAATTTCTCAATTTCCTCCAAAAATATAGCATGTCGAGTTGCTATAGTTTTATAACCGATTTTTAGGTTAAGTTGTCAGTGTTGTGTACATTTATTTCATTTTAAAAATGTAATAATTATCATGAGTGCGAGGACAAAAAAAATATTGGAACTGTTGAAATCATCTGACGAAATTGTCGAGAATCCTGGACAAGTGATTTAGAATGTAACAATGTAACTACATTATTATTTTATTATTTACAGAAAATTAGCTTTACAACGGCTTTATTCTAAATTAGTTATTGTTGTTACTTCTAGAAAGTCCTTGGTACTTGAGAGCTCACCCTAAGATAATCCTGGACCATCACCTTATTTTAACTGTAGTAATATCTTGCAAAAGCCTGCTTAGTTAATATAACCTTCCTGTCTGGTAAGTAAGTCCTGCAAACATGAATGTTATAAACAAAATAAATTAGTATAAGACCTTATACTAAACAAAACATTTTTGCTGCAGATGCTGTTTTGCAGACAGATTACAGATTTGAAGAGGATTCTGATGATTCAATTGTGGATCCCAACTATGTGGCAGAATCTGAAGTACTGTCAGAGTCAGACGAAGATGAACTACCATTATCTTGCATCAAAAAAAAAATGTTACAGCAAAAGCACTAAGTAGAATAGAAGAGACTAGCATGGTAAAAGAAGACACCAGAGGAAAGCATGAAAACACACCACAAAAGTTAAACGAAAACTTACGGGATAGTGTAAGAGACCACGTAAACATGTTCCCAGTGGTACCATCACACTATATACGCAAAAATTCAAATAAACTGTATTTGCAAGGAATTAATATTTGCAAAATGCATAAAATGTATTTAACTTATATGCAAGAAGAACATTCCGGGCAACAAGTGGCAACTATACGACAATACCGAGAAATATTCAACACCGAATTATTCAACATTGCATTTTTTAAGCGCAAGAAAGATCAATGTGATCGCTGTGTGGTGTATGGGTGTATGCTATGGCGAGTGATAACGAGGAGTTGGAAAGTGAATATCAACAACATATTCAAAATAAGTAAGTAGTACGGAATCTAAAAGATAATTACAAACTACAAGCCGTAGAGGATAAAATCATTTGTGTTGCTCGCTTTGATTTGCAAAAAGTTCTCATCACCCCTGCATAAGTAGTTTTTACTACAAAAGCAAATTAGCCTCGTACAATTTCACCATCTATGATCTGGGAAATAACAAAGGTCATTGTTATGTTTGGAACGAATCCATAGCAAGAAGAGGACCCAATGAAATATCAAGTTATTTGCTAAATTTTATAAAAAAAACAAATTGGAAATGTGGTAAAAAAATTATATCTTATTTGGACAACTGTGGAGGTCAAAACAGAAACCGATGTCTTCAGTATGTTTGCTCTCACGCTTCGAAAACTCTTAAAGGGGGTGTGAACCTATTAACCCTTTATCGGGCCACCCTGTATCAAACTATGTACCAATTTATGGACTATGTAACCATATGGTAACATAAGTTTCTAAGTGTTTTTTTTTTCTGGTTCCCCATAGTTTGTCGATGCTCGGGCGAGAATACCGTATGGTTACGAGGATGCCTAGGTAGGGGAAATGCGAACCGAATCGATATTGCGCTGTGGAAAACTTTCATGTTTACTTGTTGGTCCTTGTGCGCACCAATTTTAGAGGTTATGTGAAGTGCCGGTACAATTACTGATAGTTTACACAGTAAAACTGATTTGATTTTGCTGGATCTTTGTCGTTGGCTTCTTGGATATATCAGGTATGATATTTTGCTTTTGTTCTACGTGAGTATTTATAAATATACCATAATTTTTTGAATTTGAATGGGCGTAGCCATATGGCTACATTGCCCGTTGCAATATATATATTCCAATGGATAGTGTAGATTTGCTAAAAGTATGGATGGATGGGGGCAATTGAATACAATATCTCCTAGTTCATTTTATGGAAAGAAGAAAGGTAGACTACCACCTCCTCCTCAAGTCTCAGATGGATCAGACGATTCCGACGATGATGAACATATTTCCCCGAATCAAAACAAAACAGGAAACCAAACTTTGGGTAAATAGAAAAATCTCAACTAAAACAATCTTTATATTTTTTTGCAGTTTCAGATTACGACGAATCGGATGAAGATGATGACGACAACATGACTCTGCAACAGATACAGAGGAAGATATTAGGTACCAAAGGTCAACAACCTTCAGGTAAATACCTACTTTATTATTTCTTATTTTTTTATAATTGCTGTTCTTTTTAGTATCAAATGATGACAATGATGCGACCACTAGTCGGGATGAACCTCCTAAAAAAAAAAGACAGTTCCAAATATTCAATTTAGTTGGACAAAAGACGATATAACTAACCCTAATAGAGACACAAACTTCAATATGATCCACAATCAAGAAGTTCTTACACCATTACAATATTTTTCCAACCTGTTTTCCATTGATATAATAACGGACATAATTGACCAGACAAATTTATATAGTACCCAACAAACTGGTACTTGCATAGGTACTAATGCCAAAGAAATGACAGATTTTTTAGCCATTATGTTGTTGATGGGTATAACAGATCTTCCCTAATATGAGGGTTATTGGGCCAGTGGAACCCGTATTGAGCAGGTAGCCTCCCTTATGACCGTCAAACGCTTCAAAGCTTTGCGACGAAGACACCAAGGTACTTCAAGATTCGACCCTTGATTGATAGGCTAAGACAAAACTTCCGAAAATACCACACTGAGAATGACTATTCTATAGACGAAACGATGGTGTCGTATAAAGGTACACGTGCGGGAAGTCTTCGCCAGTATATAAAAAATAATCCTCATAAATGGGGGTATAAATTTTTCGTCATTGCTGGTGTGTCTGGATATATTTTAGATTTTATACCCTACCAAGGAGCGACTACCTTTGAAACACTCCAAGGCAGTATAAATGAAATCACCCAGGCTGAAATTGACATGGGTTTTGGTGCCGGGACTGTCATAGCTTTATCAAAATCTGTTCACAAACCTGATGAGACCACTCTTTTTTTTTGATAACTATTTTTCGAGCCTGTCCAATCGAAACTGATAAGGTCTTAGGGAAACAAGGAAGGGGAAGTTTTGATTATAAATCGGATGTAGACAAGAATCTTATAATTGTCAAATGGGTCGACAATAAAGTTGTGCTGTTAAGTAGCACTATCTTTGGAATAGAACCTGTGGACACTATCAAAAGATACAATAAGGCTGCAAAGGCAAAAGTTGATGTTTCGTGTCCAACTATAATAAAGCAGTACAACAAGCATATGGGTGGGGTTGACACTGCCAATGCGTTGATGGGCTATTATAAAACTCCTCATAAATCAAAGAGATGGTATTTTACAATATTTGCATATCTTTTGGACATATCCGTTGTAAATGCTTGGCGGTTATATAGAATGGATTGTACCGCCCAAAAGAAATATACGCCATTGAAAAAATTTAGATTGGAAATTGTAGCAGGGTTGACTAGATGTTGTAAAGAATCCAGAAAGGGGCGTCCCATTACTAGTTACAAAGAAACACCCATCATCCAGCGTCCGATTGTCGAGCGGCCAGATTTGGCATCAAAAACAGACTGCTATGGCCATTGGCCAGTACATACCAACAAAGGAAGGTGCAGACACTGTGCAAAAGGTACAAGTCGCCTCAAATGCGAGAAATGTGATAGCAGACTCTGCCTTACCGAATCAAAAAACTGTTTTATTGCCTTTCATTTAAATAAATAATCACTAACACATCTCAAAAAATGTATTTTGAAATACCTAGATAAATGAAAATAATTCAAGATGGGGGTTGTTTTAATGGGCTATGTGACCATATGGTCACGACTCCTAACTTTATTTCTTACACAACTAGAAACATAAAACTACTAAAAGTATTATCAGATATAGATATTATATACCTCCTAATAGTGTAGTATTTTTTAATAGTAATTTCAATAACTTTGCCCGATAGGGGACAAAAAAAATAATGTCACCATATGGTCACCTAAACTGATAAAGGGTTAAAAACGACTTAAGCTACTTAAATCAAAAAAAAAATCTAAGATCTCTCGTGAAAACCGCAGTCCTATATTCAAAACAGTCTCCGAGAAAATTCCTTGTGAAGATAAATTATGCAGGAGCTACTCTCCCTTATATTGCTCTCTGGCAAACAGCTGCCACTGTAGTATACTTTTTGTTAAAAAAGAGGCTACAAGATACTGGCGCCCCTATTATTAAGCCAACAAACTGACACGTTCACTGGCGCCAATAAACTATGCTTGTGGAAACGCCGCTTTACATTTAAAAAGAATGCCATTGGTACTAGACCAGAAAATATTGAAAGTTGAGTAATGAAAATTTCTATTCCATGCATAGGGGAAAAGTAAAACTAAACTTTACTATATTTCCGATATATTTTATTGCAACAGTTATTTCACTGATGTAATAAATTCCCCACCCTTATTATCTCAAAAACGGGAATTTTCTCAAAAATATTCCGTTTCTGAGATACCTAATAAGGTTGGGAAGTTTTTTAATTGGTACATACAGTACCTACCTACCTACCTACTTATTTCGACTTTCGAAATTATATTTCCTCCAAGTTGTAAGCTTTTCTTAACCTATAAATGAAAATAAAAACGATAAAATAATTAGTACGCGAACCTTACGAGTCTAGCACGTTAAAGAAAACAAACCTCACATCGATAATAGGACATGAATGTTTTGAAATAATAACATTCATGAACATCACCCAGTACTAATAAGAGTTACCCTGAATTCCATATTCAGCTGCATTTATCTGCCTCTTCCAAAAATCACTCTCACACGCGTGGCTGAATGGTGAGGATTGTTGTGTTCTCCGCCTCTAGTTATGAATTGGGTTTTTGCCTTAGACTATATACCTACAATACTGTAGAGACAGAACAAGGTGCCTGTTTGTTCTGCTCCAATATTGATGCACATTATAAACACCCTCAAACTACCAGTAGTAAAATAGATTCATCATATTATTGCAACACATTTGGTAGCGATCACACTATACGTCCTCAAATGTTCTACTTACCGCCAATAACTGAATGTCCTTTCCTTTTCTAACTTCTTATACAAGACAAGGATACGCAACCACGCGGCTACCGCTTGACGTCAAACAACGCACGCTCTAGTCGAGCCTTACTGATCTTGTTTAGTGCGTTGTTAGAATTTGTACCGACAATGTGAAACAACGCGTATAAATTTAATGGATATCGAAACAAGCCGAGTGCAGCATTCTCCTGCCACAACAAGTCTTTGACTGCACCCATTGATAAGTAATTCTAAGCGCTTGTTGATATTGGGTCAAACTTTTTAGTGATTTATGAATGACTTGTCCTGTCTCTACAGTATTGAAGGTATTATAGTCTAAGGTTTTGCCAATGGTTCCAGAATTATGAAGAAGCAAAAGGCCTGAAAAGAAGAGAGAAGCTATAGTAATGATTGATAGTAGTTCGTATTGCTTACAAAATATAATCAGTAAGACAAAATATTTTTGGAAACAGTCCAGCAAAACAAAAAATTGAAGTGAAAAGAAATAGGTTTACAAAATTAACATAAACACGAATTATATGGCCATCTCCAATGATTCAGTATATCTGTGATAACAATTAGTCATAGGCTATAATATTTTATATAAATACGAGCAAGTCATTAATAAGTTAGTTCTTTAGTTCGCTTCACTGGGTTCACACGTTATGAATTAAGAACAAAGTTTTTTTAAAACACAAGTTGCTTAATTTAACCCTTTGACGCCTAGTGGTTTTACTTCGAAACCATTTATATATGATTTTTTTCCGTACGCACTACTGGTTCAGCGGCGAAACCAGTGTCAATCACGTGTTTTTATAACCACCCAGGATTGGCAGAAAGCGCATTATTCCCCTACGCCACCATCTTGATTTAGTTTTTTGTGTATAAATATGCAATTAGCATACGTTTTTCAGGCGCGCAGGATTTTTGGGTGTTTTTACTAATTTTACAACAATGGCAGGTGAGTTACATTATAAATCTAATTCTATATGCTTTGTTTATCTTGTATAACATATTTGAAGGTGTTTTTGTCATTATTTTTGGCCATAATACACGAAAATTATTGCCGGCTATTCTATGAAACCAGTAGGAAAATTCGACTTTTTTTTTTCAGGAAAAAAAAAAGGTTGCCTCGATTTGGAAAATTTGAATTCTGATGAACTATTCACAATAATTGAAGATATACCCTCAGATAATGAGTCAGATGTTGGAGATGTTAGTGATGAAGAAGATGTTCCACAAAATGCTGAAGTGGGCGGTTTATTGGATATAGCCAATTTACCAATATATTTTGAAGACGATGAGGAACTGATTGAAAATAATGAGGAATTGATTGAAAATAATGTTGAATTGATGGACGATGAAGATGGTTGGGACAGCGACGATAATATTCCCCTAGCGGCTATAAGGAGAAGAGAATTGGCAGCACAAACGATATGGACAACAAATTTGGAAAACTGTCTAAAAAATTTCAAAAACTTTACAGAAGATGTGGGACCGAATATTGATGAAGATTTAGAAACTCCAACAGATGTTTTTCTAGCAGTGTTTCCAAATAATTTGATTCAGCACATTGTTTTCCAAACAAATCTATATGCTCTACAAAAAAGTGGAAAGGCATCAACTCATACCCAAACAAATGAAGAAGAAATCAAGAAATTTCTTGCCGTAAACATGTTGATGGGTATAAAAAAATTGCCGAGCCTTCGCGATTTTTGGTCGTCAAATTATGTAATCAGGGACCATTTTATCAGCTCAGTACTTTCCAGAGATCGTTTTGTGTGGCTTCTCGGAAACTTGCACTTGAATGATAACGTGGTTATGCCTGGGCGAGATTCTCCAAATTATGATAAATTATTCAAACTTAGACCGATTATCAGTGCTTTGTCAGACACATTTTTGTCGACTTATAAACCATCTAAAAATCAGTCAATCGATGAATCAATGATACGTTTCAAGGGAAGGAGTACCTTGAAACAATATATGCCGTTGAAACCGATCAAGCGTGGATATAAAGTATGGGTCCGTGCAGATGAAACTGGGTTTTCGTGCCAATTTCAGATTTACACAGGGAAAATTGGTGAATCCACTGAAAAGGACTTAGGCGCTCGTGTTGTTACTGATCTCACTA